CAACATTTTCCAACCCTACTAAGATTGCATATAACTCAGCTTGTGTTGATGATATAAAACTGCTCAACCGAAGTCCAATTTTGATGTCATCATTTCCTTGTTCTGTGTACTGTCTTATAAGGACCCCGCACCCTGCCCTGCCACTTGACATAACTGAACCGTCACAATATACATGCAATGTGTTTATTTTAGGCAAATTACTAATCTTATTCCCATATAAAGCCCTTAACTGTCCTGGTTCATGTAATTTCTTCATTGTGAGAGGCACTATGTCTAATTCTCCTTCTCGTTCTTCCCAGGGTTTCATGTATATAATGATGGGAATGAACGCGGTGACGAAACGGGTAGAGCAGTGGTGACGAAACGGGCAGACCCCATTTATATGTTTTAAGTGGAAGAAAGTAAAAAAAAAAAATAAGTGTGTAATACAAACACTTTTATCACCCAATATAAGAGCATAGAGCAATATAATAATACACAGATCAAGCTTGGAGAAGGTCGTGCCGTTGTGCTCCCGCTAGAGACCAAGGAAAATGGCCGCTTTGGATCGTTGTGCCGTGGGGGAAGAGGAGGGGAGTGTGGGGAAGGACGACCTCCTTGCCACGCTGTTAAGGCAGCTGGGGCAGTTGAGGAGTGAGGTTGACACTCTAAAAGGGGAAAATGAAGCCCTCAGGACGGAACTCCTTTAGGTAGGTGTCCTGCCTAGCAGGACACCTGCGAAGGAGGAGCAGGCTTGGAGAGTGGTTGTCTCCAAGGGGACTAGGGTCAGGCTTAGGAAAGCTGACCAGGGTGTGGAGTGCAGTAACCCTTACCAGGTGCTGCAGGAAGCTGGAGAGGAAGAGAAGAGGCAGGACGGTATGGATCAAGGAGAGGAAAGGGCAGTTGTACAAACCCTGCCCACAGGTAAGGTCGTGGTAGTTGGTGACAGCCAGGTGAGGTTTATGGATAGGGCTTTTTGTGCGAGAGATAGGAAACGTAGGACTAGGGTATGTTTTCCTGGGGCTGGGATAGGGCATGTAGCCGAGAGGTTAGACAGAGTTTTGTCAGGGGAGGGTACCAATCCAGTAGTGTGTCTTAGTGTGGGAGGAAACGACATAGGTAAGGTTAGGAGTGAGGAACTTTTCAAGAGGTATAGGGAGGCGCTGGGGAAGATTAGAGATAGGGGAGGGATCCCGATAGTATGTGGTGTCTTGCCTAGAAGAGGGGTTGGTCGTGAATGGCTGTCCAGGGCAATTGCTATTAATTGCCGACTGGAAAAACATTGTGCAAACAATGGTTGGGCATTCATTGATGACTGGCAACGATTTTATGGCAACGACTACCTGTACTGTCGCGACGGAGTACACTTGTCTCGTGAGGGGGTAAAGACGTTGTCTGCATCCCTGGAGCGTGAAATTGTCACTCCGAAGGGGGGGTTTCGCCAGTAGAGAGGGGTCGGGGAAAATGGGAGTCAAAAAACAAGCAGGTCCTGGGAAGTAGTGAAACAGAAGTAGATAATGCTGAAAATATAGTTAGTCATAATAACAAACATCAAAGTAATAAATGTAAAACAGATAGAAACGGAAGAAATATATTGAGTGTTTATTATACTAATAGTAGAAGCCTGTGTAACAAAATGGACCAGCTCAGGGCCATTGTTAGTAAAGAGAACATAGATATAATTGCAATAACGGAAACATGGATAAATTCAAACAGCAAACATTTTTTAGCAGAATTTCATATTCCAGGATATAACCTATTTAAATTTGACAGAGTAGGAAGGAGAGGTGGCGGTGTAGCAGTGTATATCAGGGTGTCATTAAAAAGCTGCAATAAATCAAACATTAAAACAAATAGCGACAATGAAAGTATTTGGGTAGAGATTGGTGAGGGCAGTGAATCCGTAGTCATTGGTGTTATATATAGACCGCCTAATTTGAGTAGGAATGTTGGTAAATTGCTATGGGAGGAAATAAAGAAGGCATCTCATAGAAACAATGTATGTATTCTAGGCGATTTCAACTTTTCAGGCATAGATTGGAAAAATCAACTTAGCGATAATGAATCTGAAGATTTTCTAGAAGTAGTACAAGATAGTTTTTTATATCAATTCATAAACTCGCCCACTAGAGGAAATAATATCCTCGATTTAGTTCTCAGTAATAATGAAAATCTAGTAAAAGATGTTGGGATTGGAGACGAACTAGGAAACAGTGATCATAAAGCCATATATTTTAACATAATATGAGATGGCAGGAAGAAGGAAAATTCGGCCTTGATCCCGGATTTTAGGAAGGCTAATTACGGTAGCTTAAGGAGAGACCTAAGGGATGACCCTATGGTCAAAAGATTAATCCCCCCCACACCTCCGGAAACTGTCAACTTAGAACGAGATAACCCCGAATTTAATTTTGCAGCTACTTATGAACAATTTATTGCGACAATCAATAATGCTCAAAATAAACACATCCCTAAAAGAAAATTCAGATCGATACGGAACCAACCAAAATGGATGAATAATAGACTCTTAGATCTTCTAGGGAAAAAGAAAGGAGTATATAGAAAAGTTAAGAAAGGCGAAAATCACTTACTTGGTTACTATCAGAACCTAACAAGACAGGTAAAAACAGAAAGTAGGAAAGCAAAGAGAAATTATGAAATCAAGGTAGCAAACGAATCGAAAAATAACCCCAAACCTTTTTATCAACTGTACAAATCAAAGGTTAGAGATACAATAGGTCCCCTTAAAACTACGACAGGAGAAATGACTGATGATGAGTTAGAAATGTGTAGTACGTTAAATAGTCATTTTCGCTCCGTATTCACAAATGAAAACCTAGCACAGTTTCCAGAAGTTCATAAGGTATATAACGACAGTATAGAAAATATGTTGATGAATATCAATATTACTAGTAACGATGTGCTTAAAGTAATTAACAAACTGAAGCCTCATAAATCGCCTGGTCCAGACGAGGTATATGCTAGAGTATTAAAAGAATGTAGAGATGAGTTGAGTAATCCATTAGCAGTTTTATTTAATAAGTCATTAGAATCGGGCCTAGTGCCAGAAGCTTGGAAACTTGCAAATGTAGTTCCGATTTTCAAAAAGGGTGATAAATCAATTGCATCAAATTACCGTCCCATTAGTCTCACGTCAATCATAGGCAAGTTGCTAGAGTCAATTATTGCTACAAAAATCAGAAGCCACCTTGAAACATTCAACTTAATTCATTCTTCTCAGCATGGGTTCACCCAGGGACGTTCTTGTCTCACAAATTTGCTTAGCTTTTTCTCAGAAGTATATGAAGCGGTAGATAATGATAAGTCATATGATATAATTTATTTAGATTTCAGTAAAGCATTCGATAGAGTCCCTCATGAGAGATTGATAAGGAAGGTAGAAGCACATGGAATAGGTGGATCATTATTAAAATGGATTAGGTCATGGTTAACTGGTAGGAAACAAAGAGTCAGCATAAATGGATTAAGTCAGACTGGGGTGCGGTCAAAAGCGGAGTTCCCCAGGGATCTGTATTAGGCCCTCTGCTGTTTGTTATATTCATTAATGATCTTGATTTAGGCATAACTAGTAGGATTAGTAAATTTGCAGATGATACCAAAATGGGGAGAGTGATAAATTCAGACAGTGACTTTGAACACCTTCAAAGAGATCTAGATCCCTTACATGAGTGGTCAGTAGACTGGCAAATGAATTTTAAGACTGATAAATGCAAGGTACTACAGATAGGGAAGACGAATACAAACGTTAAGTATAAACTAGGTAACACGGAAATAGAAAACTCAGTTTGTGAAAAAGATCTAGGTGTATTTGTTAGCAACGACTTGAAACGTAGAAAACAATGTATTAGCGTTCGCAACAAGGCAAACAGGATTCTTGTGTTCATATCTAGGTCTGTGAGTAACAGAACTGCTGACGTTATCTTGAAACTTTACCTAGCATTAGTGAGGCCACACATGGATTATGCGGTTCAGTTCTGGTGTCCTTATTATAGAATGGACATAGATTCTTTGGAGAGAGTACAAAGAAGAATGACAAAATGATCCATAATATTAGAAACCTTCCATATGAAGAAAGACTGAAAAGCTTAGGCTTACATTCATTAGAGAGGCGTAGAGTTAGGGGAGATATGATAGAGGTGTACATGTGGGTAAGTGGGATTAACAAGGGTAAAATGGAAGATGTTCTGAAGCTCAGTAATAACGAAATAACTAGAACAAATGGCTTTAAATTAGATAAATTCCGATTCAGAAAGGATATAGGCAAGCACTGGTTTGGTAATAGAGTTGTGGATATGTGGAATAGGCTACCGAGTGCTATAGTAGGATCGGGGACGCTAGGGAGCTTCAAGACGAAGTTGGATAGGCACATGGAAGTGCTGGGATGGGTGTGAAAGGGATCTGCCCTGTATGGGCCAGTCGGCCTCCTGCAGTATCCCACTTTCTTATGTTCTTATGTTCTTACTTTTATCCTCTTGGCAGTACAGCTCAAACACTGATTCATTTATAAAAGTCAACCATTGCAAATTAATGTAAACTCATAGCACTAATTTTCATAGCCGAGGTGTACCGTAACAGAGACTAATGAATATATTTGTAAAATTATCGGCCAAAGAAAGTATATAAAGTACTTTCCTTGGTACTGGGGGGAGGGGAGCTGATCAGTGTTATAATATTACCACGAACTTGTTTATTTATTGCTTAACCTCAACTAACTAATATATACGTAACATAACTACCTGATGATAGTTAATTATTACTCAGTGTCACGATAACTACCTGGTGATAGTTTATTATTGCTTAGTGTCACGATAACTACCTGGTGATAGTTTATATTACTTAGTGTTCAGTTTATAATACAATAATAAGTAGATGTAATACAATTATTTAAAAGTGTATCAGTAGTAGAGTTAAGTTTGTTTTTCAGATAATATTAAGTAAATAATAATTGTTTAAACTATGTGATGTTAGTTTATATTAGGTAAAGTTGAGTTGTTCGTGGTAAGTTATTAACAGTGTTCATCGCCTCAGTTGTAAACATTAAGTCGACCAAAATGTGTTAATTAAAATACAAACTTGGATGATTTAATACTTCACTACGTCACTGTGAGTTGTTTATTAACTTATATATAGCCAAGGTGAACCGTGGTACTTTAGTAAGACGTGTTACCTGTCTAGTTCAGTACTGTCTGTTGGTGGGTAATGTGTGTCACTACCACCAGTTGTTGGTGCACATGGAGAGTGTAGGGACAGTGTCACTACTGTTGTTGTTAAAACAGACTCAGTCAGCCAGCGGCCTTACTTGATGGAGAGTCACCACCAACACATGTTACCAGAAGCAACACCAGCTGAGTCACCACCAACACATGTTACCAGAAGCAACACCCACTAACACCAGCTGAGTCACTGAGTCACCAACACATGTTACCAGAAGCAACACACACTACTGCAACACTTAACACCAGCTGAGAGTCACTGAGTCACCACCAACACATGTTACCAGAAGCAACACCCACTAACACCAGCTGAGTCACCACCAACACATGTTACCAGAAGCAACACCACCACACATGTTACCAGAAGCAACACCCACTACTGCAACACTTAACACCAGCTGAGAGTCACTGAGTCACCACCAACACACATGTTACCAGAGCAACACCCACTACTGCAACACTTAACACCAGCTGAGTCACCACCACCACACATGTTACCAGAAGCAACACCCACTACTGCAACACTTAACACCAGCTGAGAGTCACTGAGTCACCACCAACACATGTTACCAGAAGCAACACCCACTACTGCAACACTTAACACCAGCTGAGAGTCACTGAGTCACCACCAACACATGTTACCAGAAGCAACACCCACTACTGCAACACTTAACACCAGCTGAGAGTCACTGAGTCACCACCAACACATGTTACCAGAGCAACACACTGCAACACACCTGAGAGTCACTGAGTCACCACCAACACATGTTACCAACTTAACACCAGCTGAGAGTCACCGAGTCACCACCAACACATGTTACTGCAACACTTACACCACAACACCCACTACTGCAACACTTAACACCAGCTGAGAGTCACTGAGTCACCACCAACACATGTTACCAGAAGCAACACCCACTACTGCAACACTTAACACCAGCTGAGAGTCACTGAGTCACCACCAACACATGTTACCAGAAGCAACACCCACTACTGCAACACTTAACACCAGCTGAGAGTCACTGAGTCACCACCAACACATGTTACCAGAAGCAACACCCACTACTGCAACACTTAACACCAGCTCAATATTAAACAAATTTAAAAACGTTTTAATTTCACTGTTTTGTAGTGAACACTGTCCCAGTTATGTAAAATGTGTTAAAACTTGGTTATTTCTAAATTAAACGTGACATAGCCTAACCTAACCTAACCATATTTGATAACAAATGCAAGTGGCAGAAGCATTGTTAGAAGACCTTGCCATCCTAACCAAACAAACCTGACCTAACCTAACCTAACCTAACCTAACCTAACCTAACCTAACCTTCCGGAACCCCCGGCATATTTAACAGAAAGAATTTCCTATTATATGGTGTAATTTGACGTTTTTTGTGGACCTGAGAGCAGCCGCCTGATCTGTGTGGCTCATAAACCTACACTGGTGACTGGCGTTGAGTGGAGATGATTGGCTGTGTACCGCCGCATCACCACCGAGAAAGACAAGTGATGTGCGCCAGACAAAGTAGTTCTCGACTAGTCACCTAATTATCTACCAAACGAAGCAATTACCCTAAAAATTATTATTATATCAGAACTCATTGATGGAAATATAATATTGTACAGTATAGTTAATATGACTTACAAACTTGAGACAGCAATAGTTGGTGGTAGTGAATGGCTGCCTCTCACCTCTCCACCTGGTGTAACACAACACACTATGTGAAATATTACTTATAGTACATTTTGAGAACTATTGTAAAAACATCAGATTTTCATTGTTATATTATAGTGGACACTGTTTGTGGTAATGTTACTAAAATGGATGTTTTTTTTAAATAAACTCTACTTAACATTTGTGGTTATGAAGGACAGACCTAACCAAACAAACCTACCTAACCTAACTTCCCGGGTATATTAAACAGATAAAACTTACTATATGGTGATATTTGAGACATTTTCTGGACGTGAGATGATACAGCAGCATCGGCACTATGGCGGGTTAGTCCTATATATTAACCAAGGTGGGATTTTGGGTCATTTTTATTTTGGGAAAGATTCTTTTATTTAATTGAAGTAAAAAAATTTTGAGGAAGTATTTGGTTCTTTTTTTATTTAATTTAAGTTAAAGAAATTGGTTATAAGAATGTGGTACTTTTTATTTATGGTTAAATTACAGTTTGCAGTAAAAAATTAGCTTTTGAGACATTTTGGGAACTTTACTGTAAAATTTCAGGTTATTATTTTTGTCACTATTTGGTGGGATCCTAATCTAACCAAATCATGTCTTCGATGGTATTTTAATTCTCTGGGAAAGGAAAAATCACAAGACGCTTCACAATATCGACGTTCATAGATAATTAAACCCTTATGGCAGTGGGATATAACTTGTGAATTTACCAGGTGTTATCCATTAGTGACTAGTAAGTGGTATTAAGAAAGTTGTTGACCAGAGTTAACTTGTGATCCTTCTGCAGCTCTTCACAGTCTGCTTGGTTCTTGGTTTCCAGAAATAACTTGGCGTCATCGGCAAACATTTGTATGGAGGAGTGTACAACGTCAGGCATGTCATTATGAAACAAACAAACAACAGCGGGCCCAATACACTGCCCTGTGGTACCCCGCTTGTGACAGGTACAGATGACGATTTCGTGCCATTAATCACCACACACTGCTTGCGGTCATGGAGAAAGTCTTCTATCCACGCTAGGACATTTCCCCGAATCCCGTACCCTTCCAGTTTGATTTCCAGCCTTTCTTGGGGTACACTGTCGAAAGCCTTGGCAAAATCTAGGTAAATATTGTTTATATTACCACCCCATCCAGAATATGGCTCCAAATATCCAATACCTTGAGCAATTGTGTTAAGCAGGAGTGCCCCGGCATAAAACCGTGTTGGCAATCCTTTACAAGGTTGTTTCGTCTCCAACATGTTGGAACAAAAAATTATCTGAGTTTCTACAAAAAGAGTAACAGGGTTATTTTGTTTACAGTTTACGGCTCCAATTGGTTGTTACTGTGGTGTTAAGACAACTACCATATTGCTGCCTCGCTGATCGTGGTTAATGAAGTTCCTCGTGTCATTCGTCGAGGTAAGATTTTCTAAAATGTTTCTTTATTTTCTTTAATAAGTGTTATGGAAATTTCTTAATTTAACCATAATATTGTATTTAAATGTTTGAAGATTTAATGAGTTCCTGTATAATATAATACTGTACAGTACTGTATACATATTATATAATATTACTGCCCAGAGTATTTAATTTATTAGTTGTTAAAATGTTATTCATTCCAGGACGGTGACGTGAAGATGTAAGATATGGGCCACAAGACGAAGGTTTGTTTTGGTTAACAGGTCTCCTGCTGCACCACATTGGAAACCTTCTGCTATAACATAAGGTACAGTACAGTGTATATCTTTGTGGTTTTAGTTTTTATTAAGGATCTGGGATCACCGTTTAAAAATTCAACGAATTGTGTTAATGACCTTTGAAATAATTAGATATTTTAAGTAGATTACACTGTGCCTGTAAGTTTTAAAAGGCCTTTATGGATGGTCTTAAATATGTTGACCATCTTTACTGTATGAAGTCAGTTTCACGTTGTCAAAATATTTGTCACATATGCCTGATGTAATACCTTTGTCTTCAGCACTTTGGGTAAAAAGAAATAGTTTAAATATCCTACAAAGGTACAGGGTACTACTTTACCTGATTTTAAATCTGGGTTCACAAATTAGTTATTGTGTTAATGACTTTTTGAAACAATTAGATATTTAAAGTAGATTACTTAGGCTTTGCCAGTATTTTTTATAAGGCCTTCATATACGTTTTAAAAATATAGACTATTGGGGTGTCGACTGCATGGAAAAGCCAAGAAACTTTACAAACAAATGGGGTATTTTATTTGGGTTAAGTTATACTAATATATATTTTTTTGGCATCAATCTTGCCATAGATTAATGCTGTACTGTATAATAGGTAAATAATTATTGTACTTTTAGGAACATTCCACAACAATAATGATGATAGTTCAAGTTAGTGATCAAATATTACAAGTTATACTTACTGCTGTGAGTATTGTCCAGTGAATTGTTCTTATAATGGACTTGTTCCACATTAATAAAGGTTCATATAGGTGGATAGTGGAGTGTTGACCCACGTCAGGTTAAGGTTGTCACCAGGGAGGGTCGCTAAAATATCTTCAGTGGTCCCTCCATTAACCAACACTATTGGTTCCACGGAGTCGTTCGTTAACTGAATCTATATACTGTAGTGTTATATATTAATAAAATATTAATAAATAAACTTAAAATAGTTCAACAGAAAATGTTTTTGTTTAAATTTATTTTAGTAAAATTGTAAATGCTGTCAAGCTATTCGGTTCTCCAGCCACTGACTTAAGTTTAGTTTAATATTAATATACCGTATATCGCGGCCTATAAGGCGTCGGGGTGCATAAGACGGCCCCCCCAAATTTCCATTTGAAAAGTAGCTTTTGAGCTCTATTCGCTGTATAAGACCAGTACCCCAAATGTGACACTTACCTACTGACTCAGTAGTCCTTTACAAACCATCCTTGGTTTTTTAAAATAAGGCCAATTCACTTCAAGTAATGTCATCAAATGTTACCCGCTAGTGTAGTGTAAACACTAGTGACGTCACTGAAGCGTCTGCTATTTACCGATAACTGGAACTAATGTCTGCGTCGAGTAAAAATTTTCCATTTACTTGAAATATATATATATATATATATATATATATATATATATATATATATATATATATATATATATATATATATATATATATATATATATATATATATATATATATATATATATATATATATATATATATATATATATATATATATATATATATATATATATATATATATATATATATATTTCATTAGCCCAATAAAGCACGCGACTTCTACATATAATCAACACCTCACCCCACCAGGATTCGAACCCACGGCACGCCTATGACTGTGACCGGGGAACGCTAACCACTGGACCACCAGGATACTAAAAGCAGTCCTAGACTTTGTTATATTTCACACAAAGCCTGTTCAACGAGCTTATGGCGCCGTGAACCTCTAATGGGGACCACCCGTATCACTTAGGTGGTCAGAGTAACGTTTTACCAAATCCGGCTTCGAAACACGAGGATCCATATATATTTCATTAGCCCAATAAAGCACGCGGACTTCTACATACAATCAACACCTCAACCCGCCAGGATTCGAACCCACGGCCCACAAGCCTATGACTGTGGCCGGGGAACGCTAACCGCTGGACCACCAGGATACTAAAAGCAGTCCTAGACTTTGTTATATTTCACACAAAGCCTGTTCAACGAGCTTATGGCGCCGTGAACCTCTCATGGGGACCACCCGTATCACTTAGGTGGTCAGAGTAACGTTTTACCAAATCCGGCTTCGAAACACGAGGATCCATATATATTTCATTAGCCCAATAAAGCACGCGGACTTCTACATACAATCAACACCTCAACCCGCCAGGATTCGAACCCATGGCCCACAAGCCTATGACTGTGAATCACCATTACTAGGTGAATCATCATCACTGTCACTTACAGTTGTCAGGCCTTCCCTGACAAATCCCTCAAAGTCAACTTCACTGTCACTATCACTGGCTTGGGCTGGCTGTGGTGGGTTGCGGGTGAAGAAATCTGTTATGCTTTGCTGACGGCTGGCGTTGATGTTGTCGTGATACACCTTGATGTACGGCTCCATAGCCTGCACCAGCCGGTTATGGAAGACTTCATAGCGGTCATCGTCATTGTCGCGGGAAAGGAAGGACTTCATCTTCTCTGCACACTCCATGGCACCCTTAATATCACTATGACTTAAATTGTGTTCTTCGGAGACTGCCGCACCTTCTTCCTCCTCTTCACTGACGTGTTCTTCTTCCAACATCTCGTCGGCAGTCACTTCAGGATTTCTGATCACCTCCAGGATGTCGTCGTTGGTGGTCTCGGAGAAGCCTGGAACTGTAACAGTCTGCGCAGCTTCTCTGGCAAGGTCCACTGCTACTGCAACATTCTGAACCTCACCAGTCACAGATTGACTCCTCCTCTCACCTGGTATTCCATGCAACACATGTCTCCATGCGTGACGAATTGTAGCAATAGACAGCTGATCCCATGACTCCACCAAGATGTCCACAGCTTTCTTGATGTTAAATACTCTCCAGAATTGTTTGAAGAGTATTTTTTGCTGTTCTAACTGTTGTTCCTCATCTTCGTCGCTCTTGCTATCGGTGGTGGTGTCACTCAGGTTACGCAACTCTTCCCTGGTGTTGGTGTAGTCGTTCAGGAGCTGGAATTTTTTTGTTGAGAATGCAGCTTTCACATTGCAAATCAACTCCTGGTCCATGGGCTGTAATATAGACGTAGTGTTGGGAGGAAGGAAGACCACTTTTACGTTGGGGTGACGATCTAACAGTAGGGGCGAGTGTCCTGGTGCGTTGTCCAGCAGCAACAAAATATTAAATGGGACATTCTGTCGCTCACAGAATTTCTTTACATCGGGAACAAAACAGTCATCAAACCAGGAGAGGGACAGTGTAGAGAACATCCATGCCTTACGTGCTGTCACCCAGTGGACATTTAGCTTGGTCATGTCCATGCTCTTGTAGGCTTGCGGGCTGTGTGGATCACCGATAACTTGAGCTTACAGGTACCGGAGGCATTGGTGGTAAACAGGACGGTGATGCGTTCCTTCTGCATTTTCCGGCCCCGAATCCTGCTGGCATTCTTCACAACGAAGGACTTGGAAGGTAGTTTTTTCCAGAAAAGACCAGATTCGTCCATGTTAAACACCTGGTCGTCACTGTACTGTCCTTCCTCCATAATCTCACGTAAAAACGGAGGAAATTCCCGAGCCGCAGCACGATCAGCACTCGCTTCTTCACCACCAATGTTTATATTGGTGATCTTGTTCCGGATCTTAAACCTCTGTAACCACCCAGAGGAAGCATTAAAGGGTTTGGGCTCTGAAGTTCCCATCTTTCGTGCCACTGCCATGTACAGTTCACGTGCGTAGTCCTTAACAGAGCGCGTGTCGACCGCCATGTTCCGTCGCGCCTGACGCACCAAGTACCTCACAAGTAATTTTTCTGTCTTGAGAAGCACCTGGTTGTGAAAATACTTGATCATAGAAGCACCTGTAGACTTTGTGATCTTCATGTGCTCCTTTATCTTGGCTGAATCCTTCTTTATAGTCCGGATCGTAGATTCGTTCACGCCATGCTGGCGCGCCAAATCAACCTGCCTTGTTCCTTTCTCCAACTCTTGGATGATGCTATACTTCACCTCGTAGCTTAAGGAACGTCGTGTCTTCTTTGGTTTAGTGCCGCTGGGTCCAGGTAAGGAAAGGTTACTCTCTGGGGGTGGTGGTCCGGCGGAAGCCATTTTAGGGAACAATGGATGCGCGTTTACACGGAGTGGCCTTGAGGGATGAAACTGCCGCGGCTAGGTCAAGCGTCGTCTTTCCTCCCTCCCTCCCTCCCTCCCCCGGGTAGACACGTCATAATACTTTAAGCCAATTACAGCTAGCAGCAGAGGGGGGTAGGGATGCATGGCCAATCACAGGTCTGATACGTCATATGACGTCAGTGATAACGCAACAAAGACAAACACTACGCAACCTTACCGCGCCGCTTGCCCAAGCGGAGGGAGGAGGGAGAGGCAGGCAGGCAGGTGGCGCGAATCTAAAAATAGCGTCGCGCCGGACACTCTCCGCATAATGGGGTTCACGTACCGCGTAATGTGAGCACGTGAGGTTCTGGCAAGGCACCGCGTTAACGTGGAAACGCGGGACCGCGTAAAGTGAGGGTTAACTGTGTGTATATATATATATATATGTATATATTTCATGTAAATCCACAATGAAAACGTGGATAAGATAAATCTTGATAAAATCACACGGGAAAATGAAAACAACGGAGTACCTTAGCTTTCGTCTTTATTCAAGACGAAAGCTAAGGTACTCCGTTGTTTCCATTTTCCCGTGTGATTTTATCAAAATATATACATATACATATACATACACATATATATATATATATATATATATATATATATATATATATATATATATATATATATATATATATATATATATATATATATATATATATATATATATATATATATATATATATATATATATGCAAGTAAATCACTGTAGGTGCGCGTGATCTAGGTATATGCTGATAACCACAAGGAAAGAAGAAAACACGAAGTCCGGAATTCATCGATGAGGAATACAAATATATATATAATATTGGCTCAAACCTTAAATACCCTAGATCTTTCATAGACAAATGCTTAAACATTACTAAGAAAACTTTTTATAGAACTGATCCCAAGCCCACCCATGACCATAAGAATATCTTAATA